CCCTGGATGCAAGTCAGCACAGTCCTCCTGCACCAACGTGGAGCCTGTTTCTTCCCTGAGTGGGGTCTCAAGAGGCAGGGGATTAGGGGATTAACATCACTAATAACAGCAGGAAGGGGGCACATGTCAGGGAAATTGACTCCTGACACACAGCTTTGAAAAAAACCCATAGATGAACCCATGTAAAGCTGGAAGCTTTTTTCCTTTTTTACTGGCAAGTCCCATTCCTTGATGTATTCAACTTCTCCCTAAGCAAGTGCATTGTGCAGGGAAGAGAGATACAGGGAACACCAGTTGTCTCTTTGGGGTTCTTTTTGTACCACTGAGGTCCACTGAATTGAAGAAGGCATAAATGCTTACCTGAGACAGGAGGCTCCTGGCTTCTTCCTCCAAAAGCTTCTGCACCACACAGCTTTGCAAGTAGCTTCGTCTCCACACCCTCCAGGCCTTTTCTATCAGCCGCTGCTGGTCCTGCCAGGAAAAGAGGCAGCACACAGATTAATGGGGCTCTGGCAGGCACGTTACCACACTTCCCTCCAGTCCCAGCTTGTTCCAGTTGCTTTCTTGAGTCTCTCTTAAAACACTTTGCATTGGTAACAAACAGAGCAGACTAATAACAGAGCTCTTGCTGAACTACTCTCTCCAGCACAGTGTGGCTGAGTAAGTCCCTAAGTCCCAGTACCCTGGGGAGAGGACAATGCCCCATTGTGCTCCAGCACAGTTCCTCAGTGACTGTGGATATGCTCACACTATACAGGCATTATCTTGTTACCTGGGCAGGCCAGAGCACATCTCACACAGCTAATGCCCAGGAACCAGGCAGAATATGGATATGAACAGAAGGGGAAGCCAAATGACAGCTCTTGGTAAACTGTGGACACCAGTGGGATGTATCAGGAACACAGATGAGGACAAAGATCATAACAACTGCTGTGAACTTTTTGCACAGTCAAATCCTGTTTCAGCTTCCCATCTGTAAGGGCAAAGCACAACTAAATCTGTGGATACACCAGTCTGTCAAGCTGACATTTCAAGAAGAACAATGGCCAGGATGTAAGTGGCTACAGGCAGAGCAGGCTTGCCCAGTAACACCCCTCACTGCCACCCCAGTGGCACTGGACACTCACCAGCACGTGAGCCAGTATCACCCCCCTGCTGGCTTCCCTCCACTGATGCCATCCCCTTGGCAGACAGAGCAGTTTCCTGTCATGGTGGCACTGGTGCAGTACCACTGTGTGATGCCACCTCTTCAGATATTTCCTTCTGCAGAAAAGAAGCAAATAAGCTTTACCAGCCATACAAGGGAGCCCTTCCCTGATGGGATCAGCAAGAGGAAGCCCAGAGCCCTGCACTACAATTACCCAAGCCACTTCTTAGCCCGCTCCTCCAAGTCCACCTCTGCTGTGTTCTCCTGGATCCTTGGATGTGCACAAGAGGGTCCTACCACATCAGGTCTCTCTGGCAACCTTTCAGCCCTTTTTTGGCTCCTGTAGATCACCAGCCAGCGCTGAATGGCACTGGGAAAATGTCCAGTTGGTGCTGAATGTTCTTCTCTGCCTCTTCTGCTTTCTAAGAAACAAAAGAGGAATCACACAGGAGTTAATCTTGGAGCTAGAGAGGGAGCCATCAGAGCTGCCATGAGCCCTTAGTCCTTTAACTCCTGAACACAGAAGAAATCCACTGTTTGATTGCCATGAGCTCCTATTCCACAGAGGAATGCCAGTCATTAAGCTGGTAAACATCAATCCCCTTCCTTCACACTCCCCACATGGGTCTGTGAAAGGAATAGAGGAGGGAGAATCTTCTTACTTGTGGGCCAAGAGAGAGACATCTTCCTGCTTTTCCTGACACCTATGAGGGTACTGCGCTGCCGTAAGCACTGGGAAAAGGCAGCTGCTCTGGTCCAGTAGTTGCAGGCCTGCAAACAGAAATAACACAGCTGCAGCCAAGAGTAAACAATGCACACAGCACTCACACAAACCAGAGAGACAGGCTCACAGCTCTGCAGGTAGCTTAATGTGCTAGACCCCAGGCTGGAAACTGCACAGATGAGATCCCAGCAGGACTGACTCAGCTCTTCCAAATCAATGGACCTCTTTGTAGTTTGCTAGCTGTGAGTCTTTTGAAAAAAGCTGTAACTCTGGCAGCTCACTCTGCTCTGCAGGGACAGTGATTATCCCATCTTATCTTTGAGCAGAGAGGAAGGAGTGCTCTCATCTCTCTGGTCAAAATGTCCCCTTTCCTTATTGCTGTGCTCCATATGGTTGCTGCAATCAGTGCCAGATTATGGTGATGAAGTTGTGTGCACAGGCTGTGAAGAATTTCACAGCAGGGACTAAGCAGTCACCACAAATCAAACCAGGTTTTTAGACAAGCTTTGTCACACTATCTCAGTGCCTCATGACTCACTGAGTTAATAATAACTGTCTCATAGGGACTTTTATCTTCTCATACTTAGGGAGCTTTATCTTCTCTTACTTGTTTGACAGTAGCCACAGATCCCAGGTGCAGGGCTTGCTGTCCTCTTGTAGCCACTCGCCAGCGGTGACAGGCTTTACCTGGAGAGGGCTCCTGCCTCTTGTGGTTTCTCCCTCCTGGCACTTGTTCAGCTCTCCAGAGTTTGTTCCTCCACTTATTAAAGCTCACAACCAGGAGACGGTGCTCTCTGACTCTTTTTAAATAAGAGAGGGCCTCATGCTGCCTCAGTTTACATGCAGTGACCTGGGCCCAAGTGACAAGGCACCTGAAAAACAGTTCCAAGCACAGAAAAGAAGCAGATGCCTAGAGTAACAATTCCATGTCAGACCAAATTTCACCTTCTCACCTGCCCTGCAGTATCCCACATAAATGGCCAAAACAAGCCAAAGAGCATTCAACAAGAAAAAAGCCTGTTCCTATTACTCCTGCAATCAAGATTTATGCATTGACCTCTATGCTACGTATTTTTCCAGTGCCTCATCTTTGGGAGGTGCAAGTTCAGACTCTTAAACTATCTTTCTGCTGAAAACCTGTCCTCATTTTACTTCAAGTTCCCAGCACTGTTACCTCTCACCTACTCAAAGCCCAAGAAACTCTGCTTCCCTCTGGCCATTTTAGCATCCTCCTCTTCAAAGGCCTCTGCAAACTGAATCCAATCTTACACTACACTTTTCCTTTGCCTACAAAACAACTGCTTTTCCTAGGCTGCTTTGCAGTACACATACTCAGTCCCTCTCACAAAAAAAAAAAAAAAAAAAAAATTAGCCAGTCTTCAGTCTATCTCTGTGCTACCAGCTGACCAGAAAGATGGTGCTTGATGAAAGCTTTTTCATTTTTTCATTATGGGATGAGAGTAAAACTGTTAAAATCTCCTTCAGCATGGAACCCAGCAGATTCCTGAAGTCTGCTTGCAGCATTTATGACAGCTGCTTGTTGACAAGATTCAGATTTTGTTTCTTGGCTGTCACAAACTAAGGCCCTGCATACATGGTATGTGCAACTAGAATCTTTACAAAGGCAATTTTATTCCAAAAAAATCAACAACTTCAGGAGTTACTATTATCAGCACTGTAAATCTACCCCCACAATCATCTCTCTGTATCTCGCAGGCTGATGCACAGGAGGCCAATCTTCCTCTGCAACCAGAGAATGCAATCTGCTTTTAGCTCTGGTTTATCCTTTTGGTTCCTTGTTCCATTTGGACCTTCATTATGCAAATCAGCCCACTGTACCATAGGGCAGAGGTGTGAATATCCTGTGCCTGGCAGGCTTTTTGGAAGATCAAGAGAAGCTATTCCAGGTTATCCTAGCATGAAAAATGCCCCTCTCAAAAGAGACAGAGCTCATCCAAGTGAGAAATTAGAAGTACTCTTGTCAAAGGAGACTCAGAAGGCAGACATACTCAACAGGAAAGAGCAACATTAAGGGCTTCTCCTAAATACAATTCCCATGAGGGAGTCACAAAGATAGATTTGCAGAGGAAAATGCAATTGGGTGGGGTAAGTGCAGAGTCTAAACACCACAGCCACTAAAGTTTTACCAGGTTTTTAGTTGCTATTTCCTCTGCAGATCTCTGTGTCCTCTCAGTCTGAACCTACAATTCAAAAGAAAACCTGGTAGGGCCAAACCTGCACTACTTATGCCTTAAATGAACCCTTGGCATAAATAATCTTATTCATTCTTATCCTCCTGAATTATTTTAGAGAAACACTTCAACAATCCTGGTTCACTACAGCTGGACACCTCTCTGCACTATGTGGTAGGCACTGGCCCCATACAACATAAACAATGAACAAGACTGTTTCCAATGAGAAGGCCACTGAACACAGTTAAGAGAGAAAAGAAATTAAATTCTTGTGTTTTGGGGATCTGCCAATATAACGTAAGACTCAAAGACAGACTACAGCTTCACCTATATTATAATAACATCAAGATGAGTTGAATATCATGGTTCTCCCTTCATAAGCTTTATATTGCTTTGCTGCAGGAACAAATCAATCTCAACTTTTCACATTAAATTAAAATCAACACACTGTGTTCAGAATCCTAAAAGACTAACTTTGTAAATGTCAGATTTCTGTAAGCTCTCTGCCCACTACTCCTTTCAGCAAATACTGAAGTGCAAATAAGGTTTTCAATTTTTAAACTACACAAATTTGTTTGCATCTCTCCTTTGCTTAGTGCACAAATACCACCCTGCATAATTAAGACTGAATGTGAGTTCTGGAAGGAAAAGGATTTTTGAATGGGAAAAATGAGGTGGGGTGTGAGGCTTTAGGTAAGAGACCCCTTTAGATAGACATCCTCAGAGAAGTGCTCCTACAGAAGCTCCATTTACACATGAGCCATCCACATTTTCAAACCCAAGCTCTGCTTTTAATACTACTACATAAATTACTCTTCATGCAGAGCTTCCCTTGGAAATGCTTTGAGAGCAAGAAACAAACTTGTGCAGGAGACGACGTTCCCAGAATAAAACAGCATGTTTCTGCTTCCTTGTTTGGTCATACCATTTCTGCAGGATCAGCCTCTTCTTCTCTTGGCAGCTGTGCCAAGCCCATCGCTGCTGCAGTTCTCCCAGAGCATGCCTCCCTGCAAGAGAGCACACCTTCCTGAGCTCAGCCCAATGACTCTTTCTCCATTGCAGAGTCCAGACAAGAGCAAACACCAAATGGGATCAAACTTCCTAAGATTTCCTGTCCTCTCTCTAGAAGCTAAAGAGACTTTTCAATTCACCTTGTAAGTTTTTGTCTGCAAGGCAGTAAGACCTTCTTTCAAATTTTCCCTGCAAGAGATCATAGATTATTTCCACTCTTATCTGCAAGGCAGTTTTCCATTAAAAATTGGGAGTTTTTTCTTCCCTGGCACAGTGCAAGTACTTGCAACACATGGAATTCCTTGAGGAATCAGGATTGCAAGCCACCCTAAAGATACACCTTGTTCCCACTGAAGCAAAACCTGACTGCTTGGTCTGAGGAGACATGTTCAAACTTGAAATGCTGCATGGAAGTCCATTTAACTCCCCAGCTGCTAAAATACACTGCTGAACACTCTTTTTGCAGGTAGTGCAGGCAGAAGTGTCAAGGGAGCATCTTCCCTAATACAAAGCATGACAAAACAGTAGGTCACATGTCCTGCTGATAGCCAGAAGAATGCAGTGACACATGCACCTACTAACTCCTGGAGTAGTATGTGCCTTTCCAGAGGAGCAGTGCACAGAATTACAGCCAAAAGTGTCACCTTCTCCATCCCAACTACTCCAAGAGCTTCTCTCTTCTATAGACACAAGTGATGTAGTGGGATGGGTAACTCACTTTGCCAGCAGGAATGCCAATGCCACAGAGCATCAGCAGTCATCTGGTGAACGTGACACCTGAATCTCCGGTCAGCTTCCACTTTCTGGGCCAGTCTCCTTTTCCACAGGCTGAAAGCCAGCTGGAAATAATGAACTCCATGCTTTAGGGCTGCTGCTGCTTTTTGGCTCTTATTTTCCATGACCCAGTGGTGCCAGCTGAGAAAGGCTCTGAGAAGGACAAAGGTGGCTGCACTGACTGTAGGAACAACTCACAGAGATACACATCTTTGCAATGGAAAATTTAACAACAAACATACACATGAGGAAGTTTTGGTAACAGATCTCGTCTGTTAACATCCTTTCCCCATTAAATATCAGGGGAAATGATGGATAGGACAAGCTGTTCAGAGTAAGGTTTTCTGTCCTGGCTGTGCCAAGCCTGTTGTGTTCTTTGGAATCAGTAGAGAGCAAGGCTGGTTCAGTGGATAGGAAGTTACCAGAACTTGTTATCAGCAGATCTGGGCTTGCTCTAATTTGTGAGACATTCCATCAAAACAGAAATTATTGTGTTCCTACATAGTAATTTGGAAGCTGAAAAACCCAAAAATAATGGGCTGCAAAACTTCCACTGAAGACAAAATAAAATAGCTAGAGGAAGAATTTTTTTCCTTTTTTTTTATTAAAGCAAGTATAAAGCTTTCAAAACAGAGAGCTTTAGGCAAATTCTGGAAAGCATGATCTCTACCTAGACAGCTGAATGCGCCTGCAGTACTGCTGGGCCTTTACATGATGCTGAGTTTGAGCTGACCAGACAATGAAGCACCTCTGCAGGCAGTATTTCTCTGCTTGCTGCCAGCAGCTCTTCACCTCCTTGTCAGAACTGCAGCCCTGTAATCCAGAAAGGCAAAAAAGGGCCTTGAACTGCTATTCTATCAGTTACTCCACACAGCTCAGCAGTCTCTCCTTGCCACTGGCACTTCTGTGTGTGCCCAGCTCTGTCACTAACCCATACAACCCACATGAACACCCAGACATGAGGTCTAACACATCCCTTTTAAATCCTTGTCACCTGCCCTACTTCCACTCAGCTGATAAATGATAGGGAAGAGTTACCCTGAGAAAAGCCTCAATCTCCCAAATCTTCTATTTGAGAGAGAGCAAAATAGCAGTGAGACCTTCCATATGCTGATACTGAAACCCAAAGTCTCTTTGCTAAATTTGAATATGCAGAAAACACTTGTATATTTACATTTTTCACAGCAGTTTCTAGCCTCACCTCTTCCCACGCAGAGTAACTGGTGAGAGGCTGGGAATTATTATCTGGACTCTGGAGCACTGAAGACTGGAACTGGTTTCCCACAAACCAATTTGTTCTGTAAGACAAAAGTGTTGGGTGAGGAAGGAAAGAAAGAAGAAGATAAAGTCCCCTGAAAGGATGGTGTGACATGACATGAGGGATTATCCAGAAGGAAGGAATTCAGCCAGTCCAAACAAGGGCTCATTCCTACCAGCACCCCAAAAAACCAGTCTCCAACTCACCCAGATCCAGGGATGGAGGTCTGCAGGCACAGCTCCCCACCCAGCTCAGCTGGTAGCTCTGTGCACTGGTGGAGTTGAAGGACAGAACTGTGACAGGACAGATGTGTGACATCCTCAGCAGTCAGAAGGGAGGAGAAGCCGTGCTGGCTGCTGTCACTAAGGCTGCATTCCTGCAGGTAGGAAGGGAGGAACATGCTGTGAGGTGAAGGTCCTCACAGTGTAAGAACCCAGCTAACAGCTCTAACCATGCCTTTTTTTTTTTTTTTTTTTTTTTTTAATCAAGGATTCAGGCAAATCCAAAATGCATCCAAAGGAATTGTAGGCTTGCCATGACACCTCTGGAGTGGGAACATGTAAGTGATGGGAAAGTTATTTCTATACTAATAATTTCCATACCAAATCCAGATATACATATATTTCTATATTGAGAAAAGGGGAAATGAGCATATGCACTGTCACAGTGAGGAAGCTCTTTATATCTCATCCCTTCTACCTTGCAGCCACAAACAGAAGCAACTGTACAAGGGAAACTCATTAGCTCAGCACCTTCTCACATCTCTAAATGATGAACCAGAAAAGGCACAGAGAGCATTGACTTCACACTTTCAGATTTCATTTCAGCTTCAAGACCACACAGATTCCGCACTAAATTTTAAGCAGAGTTTGCTGATGACAATACCATGTTGAAGTAGAATTTTTTTCCCCTGAAAAATCCCAGCAATTTAATACCTGTGAGCAGTCTAGGTGTACCAAGACCTTCTCACCTTTTCCAATGAGCTTTGAGAGGTCAGAGTAGCTGGTGCACTGCTGTCAAAGCCAGATGATGTTGAGAGGTCCTCAGAAAACAGCATGGCAAGAGGTTCCTCATAGACAGCTCTATGCAAGTGCTTAGAACTTTGTTCAATTGTCTTCAGCATGATATACTTTTGGTGCCATAATTTCAGAGTTTTTCTGAGTTTACACTGCTCCAAAGTGTTAGAGAAAGAACTGTGACAGAAGATACTGAGACAGTAAATTGACAGAAGAAGAACACCAGAGGAGGTGACTATCACAGACATGATGGACAACAGATGGGGTAAAAGGGGCTCTAGCAAAAGGTTCTGAAAATCAAGTGGACACTACTAATGGGGGCAGGGCTCAAGGGACTGGCTCTTCTGCACTCACTCAGCCTTGTGATGATCACACAGCCTTGTTTTCCACAGCAGATATACTCTCTGCAGCTTCAGTTTTTGGCAGAAGTCATCAAAAGAATAGACTGTTTTTTCCAGAAACTGTCTCTCTCCAGTCCATGATGTCTGACCTTCATGCCTCTTTGTCACAGTCTTGTCAGCTACTGAGCTCGTAACTGCTCCTTAACCAGTTACATAAAGGAACAAGAGATTGTTTGTCTCAAGGAATTCCAACCCAGCCCAGGCCAACCCTCAAATTTCTTCTTTTCAGCAAGGTTTAAGAGTTTATGTTTGGTTTATGATGCAGAGTGACAAACCTCCCTGTAGCTTCATTGACACACCCAGAACCAGTCCTCTGCCCACTCTGGTTTGTTCATACCCTGTATCATCTGAGCCCCTCTGTTTTCAAGTGCACAAGAAGAGGAAAGAGCCTAAGCACCTCTAGAGCTTAGATTCTGCACAGACCCCAAACTGCTCACCATAATGCTGCCTCCATTGTAGGAGGAAGAGGTTCACCACTGCCTGCTTGTCTCCTCCTCTGACCTGCAGCATCTCAACCCACTGCTGGAAGTGCTTCCTCAGTGATACTGCTCTGAGATGGGCCAGGTTGCACCTGTCAAGTGCCTTCTGCTCAACAGTCTCCTTCCATGTACTGAAGCACCTGAGAATACCAAACAAAAATGCTGAAAAACACTTATACAAGCTTATGTGTTCTTCCTGAGACTGGGTTTAGTTCAGGAAAGACAGACAGAATCTGTCCCCTGAGCTTCTATTTGTTTATTTCAGTAAAAAGCCACTGTCATGCTTAAAGCACAGCAGCACAGTGGCTGCTCTTGGGTTTGGTCTTTCAGGACATCAAAAGCTGGGACAAAAAAGTTTTGGCAGTGCACAGGAGGCAAGTCATAACATCTCTGGCCACAGCAGTTCTTTTATGTTTCTACCCCTACCTTCATCTTTATTAACTCCTAAAACAAAAGGATAGATGGTTTTAATATGGAACAATTATTACTGTCAGGGTTGGCTCTGTTATTCCATGGACTTTCACAGAGAACAGATTTTTCACATGAAAACCAGATCTCATCAACTCACTGGGAGACCAAGTTTCTTTGGATTTGAGTTGACATTGTTAGAATCTCTTTCATTTCCAAGCTTTGGGAATGCCACATCCAGAAAATGTTTCGTAGCTTCTTCTTTTCCAGCAGAGCACGGGCTTCCAAAAGCCTGGCTTCCTCTTTGCTCGGCAGCTCCTTCTGCAGGCGCCACAGTCTGAAAGCTGCTGTGTCGAAGGGCAGGAAGAGATTGACAGGAACAGAAATAGCAGAAGTACTTAAAAAAACTTTGTTTCACACAGCAAGCATTCCCTAGCTTAAATCCAAGCTGCCAGAGGGAGGACACTTAAGGGAGGCGGCTCACATTGCTGGAGCAACACATGCTGCAGCTGAATTCATACAAGGAATGAGGCAAAACTTGTATGACATGGTGAGTGGCCATCCTCCACCATCACACGTATTGGTCCAGCTACTTACAGGATCACACTCTGAAAGAGCTCAAAGCAACAACTAGACACAAAACCTGGTGAAACAGTGAATACCTCCAAGCTGTTCCAAGGCTATGGAATGTGTGCTTACCAGCCAGCCGTCTCATGTCTCTGATTGCTTCGGCTCTCCAGCAGAACTCATCTCCTCTCTGCCTATGACGAAGCTGTGTCCACAGGTTTCCCTCCATCCTGAAACAGCCACAAACATGCCTTGACATCCAGCTGCCCAAAGAGGCCTTTATAGAACAGAATCCAGGGCTTTCCTCTCTCTTTTTGTCTCAACTTGTTTTTCTGCCTTCAGAATTAGAAGCCTCAACAAAAGGCTTTTCTTTTGACACCTCTACTGTCAAACTACTGCTAGAGACTATAGTTACTGCCTGACTCCAACCTCATTTACCCCTGTACCACATATGCAGGTGATAGCTGAAGCAAAGAATTAGTACAGGAGTATTTCTGTCAGACACTCAGACTGCAAACACTGGTGCACAGAAGCTCTGAAATATAACTGTTTAATTCTTAACACTAAACTGCTAATTCTTGCAGCGTTTACCCATAGCAACACATCCAAGGACATGGAAACAAGTCTGCCATCATTTGAGAAAAAAATTTCCCTGTGTTTGTAACAAAACCTTTGCCCAGGATAACAGAAAGAGAATGCTCTCTGCTTACCTATGAGCCTGCTCCACTTCCTTTGAGTATCCTGTTGCAGGCTGGTGTTGAGCTGAGGTTTTCATAGTGGCTAATCTTCCTACTCCAAAAATCCCCGCTGATGAACTTTGGGTATAGGAGTAAGGCTCAGGCTGCAGAGCTTCCTTCTTGCTCTGTTTTGCCATAGCTTCCTTCCACTGAAGAAGAAACCACATGATCAGAACAAACTGCAGACAGAGTATTGGAACCAGGGTCTACATGACAGAATTTCACACAGGGTACCCCTTCCTCCTCCCTATCTGAACAGGATTTGTGCCTTCTCTGACTTCAGAGCAGAAAGTTCATGGCACCAGTGTCCCTAGCCAGTGCTCACCCTCTGGAAGCTGGCAGCTAGCAGAGTTGAAGCATGTTTCTGCTGGGCCACCTCCAGTTGTGTCCTCCTTGGGTGCACAGTCCACTGCAGAGCACCAAAGCCCTTCTGAAGCAGCTGGTGTCTGTAAAGCTGCGTGGCTGCCCTCTTCCAAAGGGTATGTCTCCTCCAGGCTTGGAAATACCTTGTTAGGATTTGTTTGTCACAAGAGTGCCAGGAACTTAAAAATGAAAAACAGAGGTGAGTTCCTGTTAACAGAAAGGAAAGTTAAACCAGCCAGGAGGTGGCAATCAGAGTTCAGCCATCAAGCTGTAAAGAGGTTATTTCAAATCGTTCTCTCTAAAGAATGGAAAACATGCAATCTTTTACCAAATTAAGGAATCTTAAACTGTTGCTAAACTGGTAGCAACTTCATTCACATCTTATCCACAAGTTTGAATTCCATCTCATGGATAAGTCTAGCTCTTGATCTTCTCTAACTGGGCAGTGAGCACATTGGAATTTGCTGCATTGAAGAATAGCACTGATGATACCAACA